CCTTGATTATTCAACCGTAAGTTACCCAATAAATCTTTAGAAAAACAAACACTACAGCTACTTGAATTTCTATGTTGCTGCGTGCATTGCAGACCTGGCCCGATCCCAATCTAAGTTCTCGACCATTGAGGCGCCAAGTTGCGCGGTGCCCGGTGGATACCTCGGGCGGAACTCTGAATCTCTGTTTGTTGCATTTCTCACCGCCGCTGCTCTGCTCGCCGCGCTACTTCCGAATCGTTTCGAATGTGACGGCCGACGGGCAGGACGCCTTGGGGATTGTCCAGAAAGTTCGTCCGTTTTTCTCAGATTCATTTCGATGAACTGCGGGCGCTCGCCGCCTGCGAGATTCGGGGTAAGGCCACCCCGCAGTACTCTCATGCACTGCAGTCACGATGTTGCCTACCTACCAGGCGCTATCAGAGCGTGCATACGACTAACTTGTTCATAACGGTGAATGACGCGGGCGTACTTTTTGGGTGATCACTTGTCCTCGCCGTGAGGGCGCGCAGCGGGGCGGGGCGCGGCGTGCCAGTGCGTGCGCACAAAAGAGATATGAGGGCTAGCGCTAAATTCTTTTTGTTCCTCCTATCGTGCAACTTTCCCATTCGCAATCACTGGTCAACAATAAAATAACTGATTCTTGAACCGGAAATGCTTGTTTCACATACAGGGGTTCTGACGGCACCAGAAACAGAGGGCGATTCCCACCCCCACCCCTTTCCCCACATTAAACCGCACAAGAGTCGTTCAATCGAAGAACGCTGGCGCTCTCACCACAAAAGCATTGTCCCCGGACTCTGGCATGGTAGTCATCTCCCCTTCTCTCCTTTCAGGCGCCGTCCCCGGCCCGGGGGCTCGCGAGGAGCGCAGGACGGAGAGGACCACGGCCAGTAGGACGCCGCCGGGAGGCTCCCGACCGCTGTGCGACCTGCGGGGCGGCCTTCAGGAGGGCGGCCCTCCTCCGGGTGCACATGCCGACTCATGCTGCCGATGAACTGGACCGCGGCGAACACTGCGGCGTCAGTTTCAGCTGATTGCGCTGACCCCCGTAGACACGCGAGGACTCACTCAGAGATAGACACTACGACTGCCAGACTTGTGCCAAACATTTCTTTCGAAGTTAGAAGCTCAATTTACACATGAGAACTCACACATATGAGAAACCCTACAAGTGCCAGATTTCCAGCAGAGAATCCAGTCCAGGCAACGATCTCATCTCGATAAGCACCTGCTGACTCCTTCATATCCGGAATGAGACCAACCATAACGAAACTATAGTGTTTTTATTTTTCTCAATCTC